GGGATGATGCTCTAATCAACTGAGCTATCCAGCCAGGCTAAAATTAACTTTTAAATTCATGTTGTAGCTCATAGATGGGTGTTATTACCAATGTACACCATCTGGTAACTTTCTATTTTAACTATGCATTCTTGCTAACTAGATTCTGAGATTTTAAAATCACTATTTTAAATTTATGTGACTAAGCATTCATGATCTGTGGAAAAAAGTCTTGGTCATTCTGCCCTCATTAGAGTCCTAAATTTGATTTATAATAAAAGCACATATTATCAGTTAAAGGAATTTGTTTCACAAACCAACATTTTCAAATGTGAAGTCTATGAAATAAAAAGCAAAAGAGAGCCCTTAGTGGTTAAAAGACTCCATGCTCCACTACCAGGTGGTAAGTGTTTTCAGTTCCAAAACTTTGTCTGTTCTTCATGTGTCTGCAGTGCTCAGTGCTTGGCACATAGTGGGCACTTGGTACAAATTTAATTGGAAGCACGCCAATGGACCAGAAACATTACAGCAATCCTATATGGTTGCTAATGCCCTTCAAAAGGCTAGGCCTAGGCCAATATCCAAAGGCTTGGACAACTCCAGAATGTGTTGTGTGGACAAACCCTTGAGCTAATTGGATGCCCTCTTCACATGTTTTGTGAATTAAAACCTCTGCAGACACACCCTTGGGCACTATCACCTCATGTGAGTGGTCCGTGTGGTTTTGATCTTTTCTTCTGGTGTAATATTTCTTGCTTACCTCTACCTTTTAATTTTTGCTATGTCCATTTGTGTAGATTTTTTTTTCTTTTTTCTTTTTTAAAGCAATTGAAATCTCTTGCAGGGGCACATGGGCAGGCCAAAACAGCCAACATCAGCCCTAAGTAACTATTGTGGAGGCCTGGGCATGCTCAGTAATGCCCTGATTCATTTTCCCCTCTGCTTTTGGCTATAAAGCCACAAATATTATAACTCGAGGCAGAATTTTCTCCTCCTCCTCCCTCTCCCTTTTCTTCTCCCTTTCCTCCTTCTCCTTCTCCTCTTCTTTCTTTTTAAATCCGTTCTCTTCTTTTTGCCCCTAAGAGTTCAATTTACAAGGTTGTTCAAGAAACATTCTCCTATTTATAGTCCTGCAACTTTTATATTTCATGTACACATATATTCCTTCTTTACTAAATGCTATGAACTACTTTGTTGGTTTGAGGAAATAGGCAAATATCTTATATAATAAAAGAGAAACATGCACATCAACCATCCCTCTGCTATGCTCAAGCCATGCCCACAAGCCACACCCACCAGTCAATCAGGAGTGAGTATGCAAATTAACCCAACTAAGATGGCGGTGGCCACGGAGCTGTAGCGAGCAGGATGCTTGGGTTGCCCCTGGTGATGGAGGAAGCCAAGCTTCCCGCCTGCCCTGGCTGGCCCTGGGCTCCACTCAAGGCTACAAAGTTTCAATTATAGAAGATAAATAAATCCCAGATACCTGCTTCCAGCCAGCCATGGCCTCTGCTCAAGGAGGGCCTGGGAGCCTGGGTTGCCGGACCTGGGCTCTGTTCAAGGCTACAAAGTTTCAATTATAGAAGATAAATAAATCTCCCCCCCCCAAAAAAAAAGAAAAAACGGAGAGGCTAGGAGCTTCGGTTGCTGGGAGGTGTGGCCAGCCTGAAAACAGCCATCAGCCCCTCACCCAGGCTGGCCAGGCACCCTAACAGGACTCTCCCACCCTGAAGGGGCTTGGCCAGCCTGCAAACAGTCATCAGACCCTCACACAGGCTGGCCAGGCACCCCAGTGGGGACCCCCACCCTGATCTGGGACACCCTTCAGGGCAAACCAACCAGCCCCCACCCGTGTACCAGGTCTCTATCCTATATAATAAAAAGGTAATATGCAAATTGACCCTAACAGCAGAGCAACTGGGAATGACTGGTCACTATGACACACACTGACCACCAGAGGGCAGATGCTCAATGCAGGAGCTGCCCCCTGGTGGTCAGTGCGCTCCCACAGTGGGAGCTCTGCTCAGCCACAAGCCAGGCTGATGGCTACCAGCACAGCGGTGGTGGCAAGAGCCTCTCCCACCTCCTCAGCAGTGCTAAGGATGTCCGACTGCAGCTTAGGCCTGCTCCCTGCTGGCAAGTGGACATCCCCCAAGGGCTCCCAGGCTGCCAGAGGGGTGTCTGACTGCCAGCTTAGGCCCGATCCCCCGGGGAGTGGGCCAAAGCCAGCAGGTGGACATCCCCTGACGGGTCCCAGACTGCGAGAGGGCACAGGCCGGGCTGAGGGACTCCCCCCCGCCCGAGTGCACAAATTTTCGTGCACCGGGCCTCTAGTGTTTATATAAAACCATTCAGAATATAAAAGGGAAAGAACATGTTTTGAGCTTAGAAAATTGGAATTGCATATATAGGGAAGATAATTTTCAGTTAAAGTCAGGCATCAGAATTAGATCTGGAATTATTATGAATCCTTTGTTACTAAAGTATAAAATGGTTTAAAATGCATAATGAAAAAGTTAATAGATTAGACTATAATTTTAAACTACTGTACTTTAAAAGAAAACCAAAGAGCTTATATGCATATATGAATAACCCATGGACACAGACAATAGGGTGGTGAAGGCCTGGGGTGTAGGGAAGGTGGTGAGGTGGAGGGGATCAATGGGAAACAAAAAGGGATATCTGAAATACTTTCAACAATAAATATAAATTGAAAACAAAGAAATGCATAAACTATATAAAAACTACATTTAAAAAGTTATCATATTTCAGCAACTGCCTATAAAGATAAATATTTATGGTGTGATAGACAAAGGTACAAGACTTTAATATAGAATGCATCCTTACAAACCAATAAGAAAAAGACCATCCCAATTGCAAAAGCCAAAAGAAGGATAAGCATTTGGGGGAGATATACAACTTTATTGGCAATCAAACCAATTCATGTATAAAGCAATGAAATTCAATATTTGTTTTTAAATTAGCAGAGTTTTTAAAAAGATAAGTGAAGGGTCAGGCAAATGACCATTCTTATATTTTAATGAAAGTACAGTTTGGGTCAGCCTGCTTGGAGGGCAATTTGTCAAAAGCTTTTAAAAGCACTTGTCTTTAGATCTACCAATCCCACTTAATAATTTATTCAGAAAATATTTTGAGCAACTATGATGCACCTCATGATTTCTAGTTATTATAAATTAAATTTCAAATACCAAGGACTAAATCTATCCTAAGGAAATAATCAGATAACAGCACATTCATTTTATAAAGATGTTATTAATAATAGTAAAATATTGAATGTGAGTTAAATGTCCAACATGAGGAAGTTAGCTAAGCAAATTATGGTACATCCATGCAGTGAAATGCACTGTAACCATTACAAGGAAAAGTGAAAGTGCTCACAGTATATTGTGGTGTGAAAAGGGCTAGTAACAGATGGATATGTGCAGAATAACCCCACTATATAAATGAGTAGAAAAAATGCTAGATTTGTACACCACTCTCCAAATAAAAAGTATCACTCAATGGGTGGGTTTTAAAATATTCTTTATATTTTCTATCCACAGTGAACATTGATTATCATTACAATAATACAAATATTTTTATTTATTAAAAATGGTTCCTCAAGAATAAGATATGTAAATTTGAACATCATAATTGGTCACATTTACTAAGAGGGAAATAAAAAGCTCTTTACTAATTAAAATGTTTATTGTTGGACTTAATGAACACAAACACCAAGGATTTAAATCTAATAAAACCAAAGTTGTTTCTCAGCCTCAGGCCAAAAGCCATTTTGCAGACACCACCTTGTGGTTGCAGAGACTCATATGGTGCTCTTATAAACAGGGTAAAGTCACCTCTTCTCTGATTTTACCTCTTCTGAGAAAATTCTGTCATTTCCCACACATGGTGAAGATCCACAGCTATTCCTGCAAGGATTCACAAGAAAGTAAACTTGGCATAGGTGGAATCTTTTCTAATGGTGAAATAATCCATCACTTCCTATCTAGGTTTAAGAGGTTGACCTTTGTCTAACATTTTTCTTGGAAGAAAGAATACTTTAACCCAAAAGAGAGACATATACACAAATAACTCAAAGATGGGTGAAGAGAAACCCAACAAAATCACTTCTTTACCAGCCTATTACTCTCAATGTATCCAAAATATTATTGCAAAGAAGGTTAACTACTAGAATTGGGGAATTACTTACTTTATAAAAATTTTTATTGATTAATCTTATAGAAAAGAGGAAGGGAGATTATCTGTATATATAAAAGCCTAAGCGACTGGCCAATCAGCTGACCAGCTGACCGACTGACCAGCTGACCGACTGACCGGCCACACACTGACCACCAGGGGGCAGACACTCAATGCAGGAGGGGAAACCACAGACATGGAAACATGGAACAGACTGATGAATCTCAGAGGGAAGGGGGTGGGGGGAGGGTGTGAAGAGATTAACCAAAGATCTTATATGCATACTAGAGACCTGGTGCATGGATTCTGCACTGGCGAGGTCCCTCAGCCTGGCCTGCGCCCTCTAGCAATCCGGGACCCCTCAGGAGGTTGGAGAGTTGATTTCAGTCCGATCCCCACAGACCAGGCTGAGGGACCCCACCAGTGCATGAATGAGAGAGAAAAAGAGAGAGAAAGAGGGAGAGAGAGAGGAAGAGAGAGAGGGAGAGAGAGAGAGAGAGAGAGAGAGAGAGACATTGATTTGTTGTTCCACTTATTTATTCATTTTGGTTGCTTCTTGTATGTGCCCTGACAGGAGATCCAACCCTGATTCTAACCAACTGAGCTCTTCTCAGCTTGGCCAGGATATTGTTTATTTTGATGTGGAAGACAACTACTGTGCCTTTTCTTCTTTTTTCCTTGATTTATTTGCTATAGATGAGCATTGGGCTGACAAGAAATAGGTGTGACTGAGGATGGCCATATATTTATATTTCCAGTTTGTTGTGCATTTTAAATGGTGTTTGCCATGATCCTATAATGATATGTGGTTGTTCTTTCCCCAGAATGTCGAGTTGTGAAGTCCACTTCTTACACCAAAATAGCTTCGTCATCCCGCAGGACTACCAACAAGAGCCCAGGACCTTCCAGGCGCAGCAAGTCGCCAGCATCAACCAGCTCAGGTAAAGCAACAAAGGAGACTTTGAAGAAAGTGCCTTGTTTATGACCCATAACAAGCAGAGGGTGTGTGAAGTCCAGAGTGTGAGGGTTTAAGATAGTGTAAATTCCAGTTTATAATTTTAGAACATGTCAGAGTGGTGGAGCAGATTTTCCTGGGTCTAACATGTTGGCTGTAAGACAAAACATTGATCTTGGGAACACTAACTTAGGTGAAATCAGAAAACCCAGATTTGCCCACAAATAGAAGTGTACTACTGACTTGCATAATTTCTATCACAAAAATTAATTTTTCAGGCTAAAGGCCACTAACTCTATAAGTCTCTGTTAAAGCATTTATTCCACTTGGGACTGGCTTATGAAGAGTTTCCAATTTGTATTTGCTAAATTTTAGTTTACCATTGGCCCCCAGTGAGGCTGTGGAGCTAATGGCAGTGGGAATGAGAGCCTGGTGCAGTGATAGCTGCAGTAACTTGGCCTGTGTCCTGTCCCCTGGTTCTAGTACTGGTATTTGAGCAAGAAGTGTACTCATAAGATGACTATGTCAGTGCTGCCTTTTCTTTCTTTGGTCTTAAAACTGATATGAGTAAGTTAGGCTGTTTTTGTTTCTGTCTTTGTGACCTTTTTTTAAAACTTAGGTGTAAGATCTATTTCATTATTAATTATTTATTAAAGATATAAACTGTGGAAGGGAATTATTAAATGATACATATATGAAAGTGATTGTCACCTGATTTCATAAAGATGGTGAAGTTCTTAGGAACAAAGGCCGTTAGGGCCTATTCAGAGGCTTTCTTGTACTCAATAGCATGGGCCCAGAGGGATGTGAATAGTTCTCTAGGCTGGGGCTACAAGGCCTGCCTCTGGCACCACTCACCAGCTGTTGTACTACTATGTAAGTTATAACCTCCATATTTAAAAATGGAGGTGCTATAATTTGTTTTTCCTAATAATAAGTAAAACTGAAATCTCCAAAGTAAGTCTTGGAAGCAGGAACTCTCAGCAAGCTGGATAGTTAGAGCACCAAGCCCAACTTGGTTCTCTAGGAGTCACCTTCTTCTTAGGGCTTTACTGATTCCCTAGATATTCTCCAAAGACCTTGATGTTCTTCGACACTCGAAGAGTAGCAACAATGTTCTACCACTGTTCCCTTCGCATAGCATGATCTACATTGTAATCAGCCAGGGAATAAGTCTCAAAACGGCTGGCACTTGAGATGCAGCTTGTTTAACCCTCCTAGTTTAAGAGTGGGCTGAGAATTCCTCCCTGAGTATGACAGAGCTCACCAAGATTGGATGAACACTGAAATGAGACTTTGCTAAAGGTTAAGGTAGTGAGACTCAATGTTTAGAGCATGAATGTCACTTGGTAACTTGGTAAAGTTTATCATCCTGATCCCTGCCCCCTTTTAGCAAATATTCCAGATTATTCAAATCATATAATCTATAAGCCTTTAGTTAGAGAAAAAGTTGTTAAGGAAATGGTTCCCAAAGTGTGGTTCCCTGGACCAGTAGGATCATCATCACCTGACTTGTTGGAAAAGCAAGTCTTAAGCCCCTTCCCAGATCCACTGAATCAAAAACTTTGGAGTTGGAGCCCAGCAACCTGGGTTTTCCAAGCTCTCCAGGTGATGCTGATGCCTACTGTGTTATAGATACAAAAGGGAAGTAGAGGAAGTCATTTGACTCTGAGTAATCTGGGGTGAAAATAGAGCTTGCTTATCTTCATTTATTGGCATGACAGACATGACTTTCTTTTCTACCTCCCTGTTTGCTTCTGAGTGGCAATGCTCATCTGTAACCCTTGCAACCCAAGGGTTGCAGACCTGTAGATTCCTTGAAGTATAAATCTGAAGTGTTGGTCAAGATAACAATGAGCAAAAGAGAAGCCAACTATCTTTTCTACCTCCTTACCATGGCCAACCTTCAGAGCAGGGACAATTTCTGTCTGAAGATTATCCCTCCCTTGAAAAACTGATACTGGGGAAAGTCTCTCCCTTCAAGAGAGACACCATCTTCACACAGAAATGTGGACCACCACAAAATGACAGTAATGCTGGAATTGCTACATGTAAAACTCCCCTAGGAGACCTTAGCTTGTTCATTAACCAACTGACAGGCTAAAACTGTGCTCTTTGGAGGATATTTAGCCTTGATCAAAGAATATTCCTCATTTTCTCTGAGCAAACCTAAACTGTAGGATGAACTCCCATGGGGCAATAAGAGAGAAAAAGATCATGGGCCCAGTCAGCCTGTTGCCCCTAAGACCTTGGCTATTTCGTACAATCACAAAAGGATGTGAAGGAGCAAGAAGCTCCACATTAACTGACACATTATCAATACTACTAAAAAACATCAATAGTAAAAAGCAGAATTAGTTCCTAATCCAAACTAACTCCGACATTGACAAATTTTACGGAACCTTTATTTTCCTTTTTGTCTTAGAATATATCATGAATTTTAAAATATCAGGTATAGTTAGGGTGAAACATCTACTAATGAGTGTTTAAGCCAAATTCTTATTGCTTTTACAATATAAATATTTCAAGAAACTCAGTATAGCTATTAATTTTTATCATTGTTTTGAACAGGTTTTGTTTTTAAGAGCTATAGGCAGTTCCTAGGTTTGGGTGGAAGTCTCTTTTCTCTTTTTCATTTTGTCCCCATAAGTCAAGGAAGGGAGGAGGATGCTCAGATTACTGTGCACATGTCAGAGAATGGAATCCTGAGACCTGGAACACCTACTGTCTGTTGCTAAGGTTGCCACCACAGATGCAAGAAAAGTGACCCTGCACTTTCAGTCTATCTGTGGCAGCCAATATTGAATAAGGGAATACAGGAGGAAAACTTGGAGACAGAATTTTTACAACTCAAGTTTTACTTTGTGAATAGTAGAGAGCCTGTTTTACTTAAAAAAAATCTAAAATTTGAGTTAAAATAAAAAGAATCATGAATCTAATCTTTAAAAGATTAAAAATGAATTCATTAAAAATGAATACAGAAAATTATTTCACTTTAAAATTAACTGGTCACTGTTCAGCATCTCTAAGATTATATAAATCTCATAAATATGATACATTTAATTATAATCTTATAAATATAGATGAATGTATCATTTACCAAAGAAATTTCAGAAACTCAAAAAAGCAGATAAGCAAATGTATTAAATGTATTTGTATTTGTTACTGCCAACATTTGGAACTATTATTGCTTTTATAAGTTTAAAATGATAGGTTACATTACCTTAGATTGCTTCAAACAAGCATTTATGTTTTCTATTGTTTTCTCAAAACCATCTTTTCAACTAGGGTTGAACTTAACTAACCTAGTTGATTTGATCAGCATTAACTTGAAATTTGTGGTAGGGCCATGCCAGGTAATCATCTCCATAAAGAAATGAAATCCAAATTCATTCTAAAATCAATGTGTTCTTGAAAAATTAACACTTCATTCAAGGTTTCTTTAACTGCTAGATCAAAATTAATCCAATGGCACTGTTCATGTTTTGTTTAATGTGAGTCTTTTTATGCATGTAAATTTTTACACTTGCATTTTGCCCTAAAAGATATGCCAGACAATCATTTCCTGGTTATATAACTGCTTATAATATGTATTACTGTCTCTTAATTCTGACTTGCTACCAAATCTTACTACCTTGCTCTAATTTAGAGAGGGTTTATAGAATAGCAGTTTCCGGCCACAAATACATGGATTATGCCAGTGACCCCAAGACCACTTTCTTTCCTTGGGACTTAAGCCCAGGGTTTAGGAATCCAGTGTTATTTACATTTATTTTTTTATTTTTATTATTTTTATTGGTTATTACATAAGTGTCCTTATCCCCACGTTATCCCCTATCCCCCCCACTCATGCCCTCACCCCCCTGTTGTCTGTGTCCATTGTTTAGGCCTATATGCTTGCATATACGTCCTTTGGTTGATCTTTCCCCCTTACCCCCACCATCCCCTACCTTCCCTCTGAGGTTTGACGGTCTTATTGATGCTTTTCTGGGCCAGTGTAGCTGCTTGATGCCAGGGGGAGCCCCTGCCTCGGCCCTCCACTGAGCTAGTCTACGACTCCTGTCTGCACTCAGGTATGGCTCTTATAACAAGTGGAAAGGAGCAGTGACCTATCTCTATTTTGATTACATCAACATTTTAAAAAATAGCCTGTTCAGTGTTTTTCATAAGTCATAAACACTGGAATGTGAATAATTTTACTTTTATACCAGTTACATTTTAATCATTGATGTTGCCCCAAACCTTAATCACCACTATGGAACCTGACTTTTTAACAACAACAAATCTTTGGTTTTCCTCCTAATCTATTAACTTAAAGTTTAAAATAATTTCTACTTCTGTTTTTCAATTTCTACTTCCAGTATCATCTTTCTACATTATACTAAGATTAGAGCATAGTATAAAGTTAAAATTTGCTTCAATTTTCATGCCATGCTACTGTTCATGATAATATTGTTACCAATGAAACATCATAGTTTGTATGCATTGTTATCTTTGATCTTTTTTGATTCTCCCAATGATCTCCCAACAACAAACAACATGACATGATTATTGATTATTTATTGTATAATAAGGAGGAAACAGAGGCAGGGCTGGGGAAACTGGTTGGTCCAGAGTTACAGAGTTGGTAGTGGCAGCTCAGGGCTGGGACTGGGGCTTCCAGTGTTCCAGACACAGCAGGCTGGCAATGCTTAATAGCTTTTCTTCACCTCTGCTTATTAAAGTTTTGATCCCCAGGAAATAAGTAATACAGTACCTGGTTTAAGATTGCAATTTATAGCATCATAACACTTTGCAACGGAAGCCTAAGTATTAGTCCTGGACATCAGCATTTCAGGAAGTAAAATGATTCACCCCAAGTTCATGATTTATGTCAGTGGTTGACAGAAAGTTACCTTTGTAAGTCAATATTAGAATAAGAATGAGAATCTTCTATAAAGTTTATCTTTGTCCCATATCTATTCCTCTTCTTGGGACTAAAAGCAG